CTCCTCCTCCTCCTCCTCCTTCTCCTCCTCCTGTGTCAGTATCTATATGAACTGAACCAAAATCTGCAGGGCTCCTGGGTCTAGCAACCCTCACACTTTCCATCTGATTAAGGAGGCCCCGTAGCCAGTCTGCTCCCTCTTGAGGGAGGTCCTTCCAATCATAGTAGAATGCAGCATAGTTGCCAACAAGAAACAAGGGGAGCCTGCATTCTTCACCCTCAGACAAGGGAGAGTAACTTGGGCTTTTTGTGAGGCTACCTGGATGTCTTTTTATTACTATAGAAAGACTCATTGCCTTTGAGTTCCTCAGAAAAACAAACCTTAAAGACTCCTTTTATACCTGAAGTATTTTGAAATATATGTATATCCTTCATTTAAACCCAAGATAACTAGAATAGGCCTTTAATGAACACGTAAAATGTGACTCACGGCTTCACAGCTTTCTGTCGTCACGATCGTATTGTATCCAAGCACATTATTCAGGGAGCTGCAAATAAACAAAGATTCTGAATGTGTCTGACATATAGTAACAAACATCATGTTGACACACATGGTAAAAGATATGTATGAGTGCGTATGGAGAGAGTTAATGGCATCATTTGTTCAGCCTCAAACCCCACTGGGAACAGTCACTTTGGTCCTTCCAGCTCAGGCAAATTGGTGCTCCATGTGAGAGGACAGCTTCCTTCTCCTGACCCAACTACCCTTGTCCTACAGCTATCACATCCATCAGCTCCCTTCCCTCTCCCTGGAGGATATGCAGGGAGCAAAAGGACTGGCTTGCTGCTTCTCTGCTTTTCCCAGAGGGATGGGCCGACAGTGGGTTGCTACTTAACCAGCAGAGAGAGAGCTTGCCTCTGGGAAAGTAAGCAAACTTACTCTCTAGCTTGGAAAAGAGTCAGATTTTCTCATTCTAACCTGTGCTGGTAAACAAAATGCTACTCTTTCTGCCTTATCAATGATGGAGCAATAGCATCAGTTTTAAAGAACTTCTCCACAACCTACAGAGCATCAGACTCAGAAGTTCTCAATGCATGGTTTCCCATGGAAATGTCGGGGTTCCTGCCACTTTCATCTATGGTCATCACTCTTTATTTTCTTCTTTCCCATTTTATTCCATTTTGCAGCTTCTGTAAATGGTAGCTGCTTTATGAATTTCCACTGACTAAATAATAATCAAAGAGTGGCCCTGGACATCCCACTGTCTCCTGGAACTTACTTCCCATCATCAGAGACACAACTAGACTAGACAATTTCAAAGTTGTATTCCAGATCCTAAAGTCTTCCAAGGTTATGACACTAGCACGTTAACTAGAACCACTTGTTTTTCCCCTTGAGCTGCTCTCTTCCCTGAATTAGCACAGGTGGATTTCTTAAGTGCTTCATGAGCCCCACTACCTGGATTTCATCTATAGTATACATCTAAAGAAAAAGATTTCTCAACAGAAGGAGGGGAGCAGAGCAGAACAAGGAAGTCTGAGAGCAAATTATGGCAGTGCAAGCTAGGCCAGCGCAAAGGAGCGAGGCTCTCAATCACATGACCACCCAGCCAGGAGGGATGGCTGGGGTCAGGGTCCTAAACTAATGTTCAGTCTGACTAACACAAAATAACCACTCACTGTGCACTCGTTCTGTCTTCCGTGTCAGTTTCCAATGGCAAGAAAGAGGTGAAGCTGTTACAATCAATGGAAGGCCATATTTATGGTATCTGTTAAGGAACACCATAGTTTATACATCACTGCAGGCTAAATCATGGCCCCCAAACATATCCAGGTTCTGGTCCTCAGGAAGCCGACAATGTTACCGTATGGAAAAGCTGGCTTTGCAGAAGTAATCAAGCTAAGGATATTGAAAGAGATTATTCTTCATTAACTGGTTGCTGCCTAAATGCAATCACAAGTGTCCTCATAAGAGGAGGCCAGAGGGAAGCTTGACAGAAGAAGTTGGCACTGCTGGAGATAAAGCAAGATTCTGTGCTGCTGGCTTCTAAGACAGAGGACAGGGAGAGGACGAGAGAAGGCACTGTGTGCCATTGGCAGCCTCAAGAAGGAACCAGAACAGCCTCTCTCCCAGATCTTCCAGAAAGAACCAGCCCTACTGACACCTTCACTGTAATTCTGGATATCCGGCCCCCAGAACTGACAGATAATTTTTTTTAAATTGCTGTTTTAAGCCAAAAAATTTGTGTGAATTTGTTACAGCAGCTATAAAAAGCAAATGCAAACACAATCCTCCTTGTGATGTTAGTGGCCCCTTGTCGATTGCCTTTGGGTAGCCTAAATAACAGAAATAATAAAAGTCTAGTTTCTGGAACTGAAAACTGTGGACCACAGTAGCAAAACTCTTCTACAAAATCCCCTATTGTTCTCGGGCAGCACTTTCCATTTTGATTCACTCTTTTCTTCCAGATCAGGAGCAGGTACAGTTTCTCTACTGTGGTCCTATGAGAAGGACATGGTTCATTGATTTTGCATGTAACTATAAGGAATCTACTAGGATTTAACAGAAACATGTCACAAGAAAGTGCAAAGTCTACATACCAGTAACAGGTTCCCCTGCTCTCATCCAAATGCACCTATTCTCCCTCACATCCTGATGATAGGATACTTTATTCATCTTCTGTAGAACCAGCATCACTGAGGCCCATCTGGACTGATGCTAGCCTACTACTTCTCAAACTTCAGTGCATATGATAAGCATATGAATCACTGGGGACCTTGATAAAATGCAAATCCTGATTGCCCAAGTCCAAGGCAGGACCCAGGATTTGAAATTGTAATGAGCTCCTAGGTGACACCAGCACTTCTGGCCTGCAGACCATACTTAAGCAGCAAGATGCTGGGAGTTTGGCCTCAAGAAGATTCAAGTTGGTATTTACCAACAGCAGTCATGTGGAAATCACTACACTGTGCAGACTTACTTTCAAACACCCTCTCTGATGTGGCGCTCTATATATATCACCATGCCTGTCCTTCCCTGGCCTTCTAACAACTCCTGCCTGGAGTAACCACCAACTTACAGGACTGTTTTATGCTGCTACTAAATATTAGTTAGTCTCCAGTGCTTCTCCTGGAATCTCACCTTACTGTTTTCTACTCTACCCCGGTCACATATTCCCCACAGGTGTAAAGTCACTCTTCCTTAAATAAAGGCTTTTTCTTCCTATCATGGATTTGTGCTTAGGCATAGACTCAGCAGAGTGTGAGTCTTGTGAGCAGTTATGGGACCAGCATTCAACCCACAAGCCAACCGGCCAGCAGTATCTCAGAACCTATTTCTTTCTCTTCCTGTTTTAAAACTGCCACTCCCTATTGAATCCCTTATTGATTTCCATTTTGAGTCTGAGTAATGACTCTGGTCTTTAGTTAATTTACGGAGCACAGACAACTGGTATGCCCTGCACGCCATAAAGGATCAAATATTTCCTCCTCTGCCTGCTCAGGTCTCACAGAGCCTGTTTCCTGTTCCATGGAAAGGGTTTCCCAGCTCTCTGCTGGCCTCTCCTGGCGTCCTTTAGAACTGTGCTCACATAGGTCCTTGGAGCTGGATTCCATCGCAGATCATCACAGACCCACAATGGTCTAAGAGCCTTAGGAGGCCAAACAACCTGGGAAGTTGAACTGGGCATCTGCTGCTTTTATCAGTATTTTCTTTTAAATAAGAAGTCCTATATTAATGTCAAAACATACCATTCCTAACAAAATTTAATTCCTAACCCAGAATGAAAATCACAAGAGCAAGCACACAAGAAGAAAATTTCAGAGCATATTAGAAAAGAAAGAAGCCCATTGAGCTATAAACCAGTGCCTGCCACGTTGCTGGAAGGATTTCAAGAAATATCATCCCTGGGCCTCACTCCAGTTTAACTGAAAATGCATTTCTGAGGGTAATCCTGATTGTTTATATTTTTAATAACCTTCCTGGTGATTCTAATGGGTATGAAGAGCTCCTTGATTAGACTTTAATGTATATAAGGTCTATAGCTTGTGTCTAGATGTCCCCCCAAAGCCTCATGGAATCACAGGTGGGGCTGTTTCTAGAGCATGTGACACTGGGATTATTTCACAGTGCAATGCTAAGATCAAGGGCACTAGGATTAAGGGTGTGAGTTCTACCTTCCCTAAGTAGCCTGAATAAGATAGAAGAGATAGAAAAGATTGTGGCCATCCCTTATTGTTCTCCCCTGCCTGCTTGCTGTGGACTGTTTCTCCTCTACGATGCCCCTCTACTATGCCACCCTGCCTTGGAGCCAGCCAACTGTGGACTGAAACCTCTATGAACTGTGAGCCAAATAAACCTTTCCTCCTTTAACTTTGAGTGTCAGGCATTTTGTCCCAGCAATGAGAAAAGTAACTAAGATGAAAAGGGGGATCAAAATACACAGTGAATGTTTAAATTTTTAAAAATTATTCCAGTAAAAGACACATTGCTATGAATCTCTCCCAAAATATTCCCCCTCTCTTCAAACACATTTATCCCATCATACTTGCCCTTTTCTGAAGCAGTTCTGGAAGTCCTCTTTCCCAAGAGTCTTTATGAGGTATGATCAAAAATATGTTCCATGGAAAGGCATGTTCGTAAAAATGTGACAATGCATCCTCATCCACCTTATTCACTGGATCTGGCACTGCAACTTCTGGCTCTTCCCCAAAATCAAAATGGTCATTAAAGGGAAATGTTTTTAATCCATTCAGGACACTGAGGAAGCCACAAGAGTGCAACAAATTAGAAGACACTCACAAAAGAGGACTTCCAGAACTGCTTCAGAAAGTGACAAGAAAGATGGGATAAGTGTACTGGAAGTGTGGGGGAGGATTTTGATAGGGATTAATGGCCATGTATCTTTTATTCTAATAAACTATTTCTGTAATGTATAAATATAGAAAAATCTAAACATTCACTGTATTTTTCAAGCATACTCTACAAAAGAGTTGTGGGTGAAAACTGGTTATATTACTGAATATATTAAATGACATATTTGTAATTTGTAATTTTCACACCCTTTAGAAGGAGCCACTCCCCAAAATCCCACATTCAACAGAGCTTGGGTTTAGATCTTCAATTTACTGACCAGTTCTTCACCCTCCCATCCAGACCTGTTCTCAGGCCTGAACATGTCACTGTACTGCCCAGGTTCTTGCTTTGTTAAGTGTTTTGCATTATATCTCCAATGCTGGTGCCCTAAGGACATGACACGCCCTGCCAGACTAGGTGCTGTGCAGCATTCCCACTCAGGCAGGGGCCCCAGTCCAGCTCACATCCTATGAACAGCCACCCTCCCTACAGTCTGCCTCCAGTGAGGCCAGACCCAGACGAGGGAAGGTTTGGGGCAGGTGAGAAGGCGGAGTTGGACCAAACTTGATATTCTCAGGCTCTCTGATACTGCTGTCATCATGAATCCTACCCAGATAATGTCCTGGTTCTGGAAATGCTCTTGTCTTCTTTCAGCTTCGATCTCTCCAACCCACCCACCATAAGCACTACTCTTTGGCAAAAGACTTCCCCAACCACCCTACCTCTCCCCATCAAAACCCCCAGACAATGAAGGATCTTGTGTGTGGTTATGCTGCATGTAACATTGTCTTCTCTTTGAGATGTGTGATTCTCTCCTTTACTCAACTTTTTGAATGTTTAGTTGTGGCAATGAACATTTCTCCCATCGTCTGTGTCTCTTTATGGCCTTGCACACAGTGGGTGTTCAGTTGATATTTGCAGATTAGGTTTCCTCCAAGAATCATCAGCTCAGTCCTGGGAAATGAAACCTCACTCCTGCTAAGCATTCTTGGGTCTCTCTGGGTGACTTGGCTTTTCGATCCTGGATCACCGTGACTTGCCCAGTCACCCTTGGTATTCTTCCCAGGCCATTCTCTGCATTTCCTGCCTCCTTCAGCCCACACAATCATTTCAATTCTCTAATCAACCTCAAACCACCTTTCCTCCTCTCCTGTGTTTTCTTTGCTTAGCTCAGAGATCAGTGGCATCTTCAAATTTGCATTTTTAATCAGGCAGTGCATCGGATTTTTACTCTATTATTCTGAGTTCCTCTTATATTTAAGCTACTTCTGAGTGTATGAGTGACAATAAAAATGTAAATAAGAAAGTAATTTGCTTTTGTTCATCTTTTTAAAAAATCTCTTAAGCCTTAAATGTTTTACGTGAAGCAGGATCATTTTTTCTTCTTTGCATGGAAAGTTTGCCTGTTACTTTTAAGGTGAAAACAGAGGCTCCCTTATGGGCAAAAGCCACCTTAGCCTAAGCCCCTTCTAGGAAAGTCAGTTTGAGCTTTCACCCAGGGTCCACTTTCCAGAGGGGACAAAGAATGTGCTTCATTTTGCTCTGCTCCACTCCACATCCTCCCTGCCTTACAAGTCCTGTCATCTATAGCTTGTCCCTGATCCGGAAATCAGGCATCTACTCTGTACAGGGTTAACTCTCATGCTAGCCTCACCACCCACCTTCAGGCAAACACTAGCTCTGTGGCTGTGACGTGGAACTGCAGCAGCCTGCTGGGTCTCTGTGGTGCAGTTGCACTTCCTGTGCAACAAGGTCCTTCACTCCCAGGTGTGTGAGCCACACCACCCACTGAGTGTCCTCAGAAGCTCCTGCTCTTAGATTCTTTGCTGCCCTCCCTTGATTCTCTTTGGTTCTGACCCACAGGTCCAGGACCTGGAAGCCAGCCTTCCACTGTCCCCTCCCCTGCCCTCTCCTCTCCCCACTTCTCCACTCCCAAGTCTGATAGCCCTGAATGATCTCAGCATGAACCTGAGAATCTGATCATCTGCAATGGAATATGAACTATCTCTGCTCTTCCGATGAACTGAGAGGGCCAAGTAACGCCCAGACGGAGCTGAGGGAGGAAACGAGCGTTAAGGACCCACATCTCACCAGCTTTGCTAGCGACTGTAGAATTCCTTATTCCGAGCTATTTAGGTGTCTATGCTCTGCTTTCCATGTCCGTGAAATGAAGCTAATATTACCTCTGGGCTATTTTAGTAAGCAAATAAGAAAAATAGTTAGCATTCGGTGCTTATTTTTGTACCAGGGTCCTTGCTTAAAGCTTTATATATATTTCATCTCTTAATCCTCCTAATAGCCACAAGAGATAGACAATATCCTAATTCCATGTTTAGAAGGAGAAACTGGCTATGGAAGTGCTTTACAAAATATTGCAGTGTGTGGTATTTGACCAAGATTTTGACAGAGGACAACAGAAGGTGAAGCCGAGGAAGAGTCAGGTAGTGATGTGTAGCTGGAAGGTTAGGCAGTGGGGAAGTAAGAGAAAGGCATAGAGGTTCGGGGTAGTGCAGGGCAAACTCCAACCTGGAGAAATTGGGGGTCGTGTGGGGAGAACAGGAATGCAGTGATGAAGAACACAGCCTTCCTGGCCCACCAGAGAGAGAGAGGTCCCGTGTCGCCGGGAGCCCCTCTCCATCCAGCCCGTACCACGCACACCAGTGGGGACCAGCTAGAAGGTGATGATCCCTCGCCCCTGCCCACGCCCAGGGTGGCTGGCGATCAGCTTAACCTTGCCGACGCCTGCAGGACCGCCCCCCGCCCCGCCTCCTGGCTGTCCTGCTACCTGGTTCCACACTACAAAGATACAGGGGACACCAGACTGCCGTACTTGGTAAGTTGGAGGGATCATCACCTCCCATCAGAACCTGGACTATCTTTAGTGGAAGGGCAGCTGGAACCTGCAGTACAAACTTGCAGAGTTCAGTCCTACAGGAGGACAGGGAGTTCCTGAATCCCATGGGTCTGGAACTGGGTTGCTGAGCCTCACTGACTTATATCTGCACACTGCTGCACACGCTGTCTATTGTGACAGCAGGGGCATA